TCCAATTCTCCTCCCCATCCCACTGGAAGAGGGGTGAAGTGAGCGAGCAGCTGCATGGTGTTTGGTGCTGGCTGGAGTTAAACCACGACAACACCTTTAAGCAAAACGTCAAAGTGGTAGTGGTTTTGTATTTCGAAAAGTGGATGTTTCGGCAAGGTGCAAGGAATATTGCTTTAACATTTTGAGTTTTAAAAAAAACCCAACACAACAGTTGATGATTTGCCATAAGTAATTTTATGTTCCACTCTAAAATACTTGTATTTTAACAGTGAACAGAGTATCTGCCAAGCGCGAGCTGCTGTAATGGTCTACGATGATGCCAATAAGAAATGGGTACCAGCTGGTGGATCAACTGGATTCAGCAGAGTTCATATATATCATCACACAGGCAACAACACATTCAGAGTAGTGGGCAGGAAGATTCAGGATCATCAAGTAAGTGAATCTCTGAAAATTTGGAATAGGCTTAATCATAAACTATTTTTGTGATTGATTGTTTTTAATATTAAGAAATAAGTCTTCAGCAAAATTATGGGAACTGTAAATAATAAATCTGACTTTTTTTAACTGAAGTAGCAAAGCTGTATTCTGGCTTTTTCCCTGTAAACTAAGCACTTTACATACCTCCAAGGTGATAGTCCTTGTGCACTCTTTTACCGTTCCTTCCTGCAGACAGACATAAAGGCTAGTGGTATACAGAGAAGTAATCTGATTCTCTTTAAGGCAAAGTGGCAGCCTAAAAACTTTTCTTCTTCCCTACTCTGTGCTCTTAGCTGCAGTCTATGTAGGTACCAGCGGTTCTCTTGTAGCTCTTCCTGTATTATGAAAAGTTGGATGCACGATGTCTTATTTCTCCAGATCATTTCTTTCAAAAAACCACCTGACATTTGATAAGGCTGATTATCTACCACTTTGAGAGGCTGAGAAGGAAGCAAGAAGGATTACGTCTTAGTTTCCTTGATGAAGCTATTAGATCTTGATTGAATGGCAGACTTTAACACTCTGTTGTGAAATATGCTCTGCCTTGTGATACTTGGGATGGGATTGAAAATCTAACCTTTTTGTTTGAGAAAAGCTTCTATATCTATTTCCCTCTCTCCCAGTATTTCATAAAATTCTTGGTCATTTATCACACACCTGAAGGGTAGACTGATAATCTCCCGTGGGATTTGTCATTAAACACTTATTCCAAGTAATAAATGGTCTCTGTGAACTTCATCTGAGAACAAACGTGCATTTTTTTCTTCCATTATTTGGTGGAAAAAGGTGAGAGAACATAATTATCCAAGTGCAATGGGATCCTCTTAGTGGATGGCTTGTAATAAATGGTTGTTCTACTGGTTAGAATTGATCACCTTTTGTGTGAGCCGTAACGATCTTGCGAAATGATACCTTGTGATGCATAGTAAAAGTCTACATAAACTGCTACTGAAAGCACTGCAAGCTAAGGGGTACAACCACCACAGAGAGAATTTGATAACTTGGTTAAAAAATAATTCTAACAAGTACTTTGTGAAGTTAATGGAAAACTGAGTTTCTGAAATCCAAATGCATAATCACGTCAAGTACTCTGCTACTGAAAGTCAGAACTGTTGATACTACTGCATTGCTGTTACGAAACATCACTGCATTTTTAGAAATGAGAATGCTTAAGCTACAAAAGTTGATACAAAATCTCTCATTAGTCCCCTTGCATATTCTCATCACTGATTTCAGGTGGCATTGGAATTAAAATTGAAGTGGTTATGTGCTTCAACATTGTGATTTTACAGATTATGGGTGTTGAATTAACTTATATGGTTAAGGAATAAATCTACATGAAGCTGAAACTTGTGATGAAACAGCAATTTTAAACATAAGTAATTTTTTTATTATTATAGGTGGTAATAAATTGTGCCATTCCAAAAGGACTGAAGTACAATCAGGCTACGCAGACCTTCCACCAGTGGCGTGATGCTAGGCAGGTGTATGGTCTGAATTTTGGCAGCAAAGAAGATGCCAACGTCTTCGCAAGTGCCATGATGCATGCCTTAGAAGTATTAAATTCACAGGAAGCTGGTAAGAATCTCTTAACTTTTTGGTTTTTTGAAGATTGTTCAAATAGAGAGATGGAAAAATTTAAAATGTTTTATGCGTAAATGTCAGTAAGTCTTGTTCTAATCATGATTCAACCTCTAGCCATTTTAATTATTTAGGTGTTTTGTCTACCTAGTTACTACTTCTTAATAGTGATTCCCAACTTGACTGTTGTCTGTGTAAATGCAGTTCCTAACAAGTAAATTGATTTTCATGTTATCTATTACATATAGAAACTTGCTGACTTTGCCTTTTTTTTTTTTTTAAGGAAACAAACCCAAAACACCTGACCAAGAAACATGTACCTCTTAATCAGGGTGCTTTTCAGGATTTCTAGAGACATCCAGTGTTCTTGATGTATATTGATATTTTTGCTTCTCGTTGAGTACTCGTTTATTATGAAAACATTAGGCTTTTTGCTCCGAACTTTGGAATTCAGGTCATCCTCTTTGGCAGTTCTTACCATACAGAATTTTCTAGCTTGAAGACCTTGGATCCAGGGGTAACATTCAGATGAGCACATACAATTTAGACAACAGGTCTGTAGTTTAATTTGGAGAACAGAGTGACATAGAGGGTTTAAAACATTGGTGGAAAAATTTAGTGGCTTTCAATCCTCAGGTGGTGTCTGTAATATATTCTAGATAGGCTCTACAGCAAATTGATCAGTAAAAAACACTGGGATACACACAGAGGGAGTTTTTATTTTAAAAGACTAAGAGAGACTTGTGTGTTCTTGTAACCAAACGGAGTTCTTTTGTCCTCATTAAACTTTAAAGATCGCCTGTGTAACAAGAGATAGTACTTCTGTGCCAGTTTTCTTTCTCTTGTGTAGAAGAGAGGCTGTAGATAACCTTACTAGGGCACTCTCAACTACAGCAGAAAAGAGTGAGTTTATCAAGTTGCTTTTCATTCTGGTAGTTCTTTCAAGACTTACCTTTTGAAACTGAGCGATGTAGACCAAGGATGATACATTCTGCAGTGCTTATGCTGTTATGCAGCATACAAGGCCAAAATAGAAAGGGTAGCTAGAGGGGTAAGGGTTCTTTTTGTCAGCTAGAATAATCCAGTTATGTATCCCATTCTCCTGCCTCTCAGTTGGATATCTTCTCTTTTAAATCTCTTGGTTCTCCTTTTTCTAAGGGTTTCTCAATTGTAAAGGTTTCATGCGTTCTGACTGCTTATCTATCTCCCAACCAACCTTTGGGAACACATGAAGTGTTGGTTTCTACTCACTGGATTGTAAAGTCTGAAAAGGCCTGATTTATAGTAATTACCACAAGTTTGAGGGTTTTATGTTGTTTCCCATTACCTGTACTTGAAGAATTTGTCACAACATGTTTCAAACAAATGCGTACGTGTGTGTACACCTATATATATATATGCATCATTTAATTCAGCTCCTTCTCCTAACACTAAAACTGAGCTACTAGAGAGGCTGAAATGACATAGGGAGATGTGACAGTGCTCATTTTTTTAATTCGTCGGTGTATCTGTTATTTTATTTCATGGATTATTGTGATTTGTCTAATGACTAGTTCTGTTGCTGCTTTATGCAACATATATGTGGGCCAACAGCCACATTGTTATATTCTTCAATAGTTGAAATTTTATTTAACCTAAGATGCCACTTCAGTTTGTAAAGACTTAGATAAAACTAAAATTGTTTTTAGGGGTTTCTTTAAATGGAACTTTAGTAATACAAAACATCATTCAAACAGTAGCCTAGAGCCAATATAATTCCACAGGAGGAAACAACTCAATGAAAATAACTCTTTTTCCTGTTGTATTACTTCAGTAATTTCTTAAATAGTGAGAGGAGGAGGAATAGAACAGGAGCTGAGCTTTGCAATGAGTCCAAAAATCACTGTACTTAGAATTCAGTCCTCTGCTCATCCCAAATTGTGAATTCTTCCAAATCATTCTGCCAGTAGACTCTTCACTGGTCTCTGAATTGGCCTTTCAGTTTGAGTTTGTCTGTTTCATTCGATTTAATATCAATTAATCTCTGATTGGGGGGTTATTTTGGTTTTGGGTGAATTTTTGTGTGGATCATGAAATGGGAGTTGAGTATGACTGTAATATCATGTACCGGTTGCTGGCTACAGAGCTGTAGTATACCTAGTTCTCAATGGCTTTGAGGTGTAGGTCTGACAAGGACATGAATTAAGTTGCATAATTATGTTCAATAGTGACTGGTTGTAACTTTTACGTTTTCTGAATTGTAAGATAGTTGCTTTGTTTCTCCTTCCTGTGATTGGACTTGGTAGTGGTAGGTACAGGTCAAAATGCATTGATTAGCTGCATCACAAACTAATGATGGACAGCATTGGTATAGGAGATCACTGTTTTTCTCTAACTTCTGTTGGCCAGCAAGGACTGTGGCTGTTTAAGATTAGCTATCACCTGTTTCACAGACCTATAGGTACTCTAGCTTCCAACCAAATGAAATAAAACCAAAGCTTAACGTTGTCAGCATCGCTTCAGCAGATGTCTGAAGATGACTAATTTTGCACTGCTGCTTGTAAAAAAAATCATAATTATGCATATAGAATTGCTTTGTAAGCCTGTTACCACTTTCAGGTAATGTCTAAAGATAAATGTTCATAATGTATCTATGTTAGAATACTGTCAACAAGTGTTTCTAAGTTTTATCAGCTGGGAGATTTGTCAGTGTATGATTTACATGTTACTTAATTTTTCTGACGTGTATCAGTGTAAGAAGTAAAAAAGATCAAGTAACTTTCTGAACATGCCTGCTTCAAAAGGATTGAAATAGGATACTTAGTAGTTTGCAGTTTAGAAACAAACTAATTGGACTCCTTGCTCAAACTTTAATGCATTTCTTTTCTTTATAGTTGGTATAATTTCCTAAAAGTACAGCTAGAAATGAATCATTGGTG